ATAGGAAAATAGTCAACCGAAGGGTTGCCTCTTATGGAACAACATAAGGTTAAATCATGTGACAATGTAATTCTAAGTGGCTCTGATTGCTGTTAAAACAAATACGAAAAAATTTCAACATATATGCCATTAAACACATTTGACATAACTTTCACATTTTTGCTACGTACACTACAAAACTGAACAACACCCCATTGAAACCGTAAAGCTTATAATTCTTATAATAAATAAATGTTACCTACTACAATAATCAAACATTTGTTGAAAAATATCTTATATGTATTTTATCACTGTTAGCAAAAGTTCGGTTTTTTCTTCGAAAATGTGGGCAATAAATTATATTCATAAGTATTATTTTCCAAAATTATACAAAGTAGAATAGAGCTTCATGCATAAAAACTTTCACAATTCATATAAACCGAATGATTTTTGAACTCAAATCAATTTTTGATTTTTCACGAAAATATTGAAAAAAAAAATCACAAGGAATTGAGAAGTTTCTGCCATCATCGCAGAAATCCATGAAGTTTCGATCAAGATACATATACTGGCTCATGAGCTTTAAAACCGATTTTCCCGAGAACACCATGCTAACTAATGAGAGCGTAATGTATTAATTTCGCATCAGATTATTTAAAAATAAATAACTATTTTTTCATTATAGGTGATTAATATTCATAATAATTAATATGCGCACGCACATGTGTGTCTATGATGTGTCAATTGAAGAATTCACTTTGTGCAATATTTTCCGAAGTCCATTTCCAACGAAACAAATAGCGTGCGTTAAATATGGTAGTGTAATAAAATTTGATTTCATAATATTAAATATGCCAACCTCATACGGTACAATGGAAACAAAAGGTTTAATGAAGTCCGCAAATGAGTCACATTTTAATGGCTTTCGTATATATCAATGAATAAAATACGTAACATGATCATAGGTATTGTGCACGACTTATGCAATTTGTTTTAGCAGTTCGATAGCGGTATTTATGATAAAGTCGACATTAGGGCTCCTGTTCGACAAAGGAAAAATACCAAGCGAATGATCAGATAATGTTATACTATCCTGCGATTCATAACATACGCCTCAGACATAATTAAGTGTTTAATTACTCATCGTAATACACCTCGGATTTTCTTTCGGATATTTGGAACTAGACGTCTATATCAGCAATATCCAATCAATTTCTTATTAAAAATCGAAAGTATCTCATGATGAAATGGAAAATCTCTCACACTATTCTTCCCTGAATCGAGTTAGAATTTAACTCAGCTCACGGAATTGCCCCAGGGCAGTACCCATGAGCTACCCCAAATATAGTAAAATGTAAAAGAAGGAAGAATTGAACTCTGGGTACAACTGTGGAAAGAAAATGTTACTTGATCGTTCTATTTTTAAGAAAATAGTGACTTTTGCACAACACATTTGAAGGTGAAAAAGAGGAACTGAAGGGATTGGAATTATCGCAGATTAGTACGAAAAGAAAAAGTCCAGTAAATTTAAAGCCAAAATAGAAGGCACAAGACAATGGATGTGAAGGTTTGAAGGTGGTGAAAGAGGTAAACATAAACAAAAGAAAAATGTGTTTAAACATTTAGGACTCTCACACCATGAAGATAGAGCACTAAAATACATACACTTCGGATAGAGCACTAAAATACATACACAGTAAGGGGAAGTCCCGTAACGCCGGACGAAGAAACAACATCTCTAAGATGAATTCTAATGTCCCGTGCATTGACCCAAAAATAAGGGCTGAAATTTAAAAAATTCCATTTTGACCCATTTAAAGTGCCCCAATTGCTTCCAAATGTATGACCGAACCCCGCTAACTTTGAAAGGCCAATCCTCCCATGCCCCTGGTTCAATCCCTGGAACCCCCATGAGAGTTTTTTCAAAATTTAACCCTTATTTTTAGGTCAATGCTCGAGACATCAAGATTCATTTTAGCGGTATGGTTTCATCAACAAAGTATCTCATGTTAATCTCATAATCCGAAAATTACATGTGCCCAAGTGACCTTAAAATCGACCCGCCCTAATATATATATATATATATATATATATATATATATATATATATGTATATATATATATATATATATATATAATGTGTTTGTGTGTGTCTAGGTAGGTATGTATTACATTTTTCAGTTCATTTCAATACATATAAAAATTGTTTTTAAAGTTAAAGTGAAAATGAGTATTCAAATGTCAGAGCGAACAGCTAGGAAGCCCAGCAGATAAAACTCTTCTAAATACGATCCTCCAATATAATCTAAAGAAAGTAGCATGGCAATAATAAAAAGCAATCACAAAATACGCAGAATTTAGTATCTATCCGTAATTAAATATGTTTGAGTGAGTCTATCAAATATTATTTCCGAACCGGGGTCAAATTCATAGACGTACATATTCCAATATCATCAATTGCCAATTATATGCCAAACATATTAATAGTATTATATAACTAAACATTCTGGTCATCGATGTATTAAATGCTGAAGAAGAATCAATAACTATAAATATTTATTCGTCGCTACACGAATTGACCTGTTGAGAAAACACTTCTAGTCTCGTTTTATTGGTTTCGGCTCTGAAATCAAGTGCAAGGACAAAGTCGAGTCGATGTCTAGACAACGAAGCTCTAGGTTTGAAGGCGCTGGTAGCCAAATAGAGGCCCTTGGTTATTATGAATCACAACACTTCGAACGTTACGTATTTTTAATTCATTATCTAGGACGATTTATTACCAATACCAAGTGTTAAATAGCATAATAATTGAATAATATATTCAATTAGTTGCCATATTAAATTAAAGTATCCATTAGCAAATGCGCAATGCAGGGCATGATTGAATAACTCTATCAGACGTAGTAAGGAAGAAAATATGAAATTGATGGAATACTGTATTTTTTTTTGTTCAATTTTAATCAGATTCATCTTTAGTACAAATTAAATAATATGAAAAAACAAAAAAAACTACTTTTTATAGAGTAATTAAATAAAGACACATATCAAGTGTCAAAACGTGAAAATGACGAGTATACATAAACTATATATTTTCTAAAAGCGAATTTTCAAAAATCAATAATTTTTATAATTGAACCAGTTTCCGTTGGACTTTAATGGTTTAGTATGTTCATTAAGACCAAGTACTCTATTGTTATACCAAATAAATTGTCTAATTTTAATTATAAAAAACGCCAATAAAACTACTCATTTTCTCAAACTTAAACTACTTGTCGTAAGGCGGTAATATTTTAGTAAGTTCTATAAGACCATGATATATACCGCCAAAAGAAGTTCCATAAAAATCGGCTTAAATTTTATTTACCCGTTAAGAACAAGAAAACGGCTCAGTAGATTTTCACCTAAAACTAATCAGTATCATTCTCAACTAATATCTTCCGAATAGTTTTTGATTTTTTAAAATCGATTCGGTAGTTTGAACTTAAATGTGGACAAACAGTTTAACACTTTTTTTCAAATTACAAAGAAACAATTACAATCAATTACAATTACAAGAAAACGGCTTGGTAGATTTTCACCTAAAACTAATCAGTATCATTTACAACTAACATCTTTTGAACAGTTTTTGATTTTTTAAAATCGATTCGGTAGTATAAGCTTAAATGAGGACGAAAAGTTTAACACTTTTTTTCAAATTACATAGAAACGGCTCTGCAGGTCGTCGCACAAAACTGACAAACGATAGTTCTCACTGAGATACATCAAATATCTTTGAAATTTTAGAAATCGATTCTGGCGTTTTTGAGAAAACATCGATCAAAGGTCTAATTTTGACAAATGCCAAAAAACGATACTAATTTTTGCAAACTTTGATGAATTTTTTAAGTTTAACGAGTTGTCGAAAGGCCGTGATATTTTAGTATGATCTATATCTCTATGGTATATACCGTCAAAAAAAATCATAAAAATCGGCAAAAAAAAACATTTTTAACACTTTATTACAAGAAATCGCTCGGCCAATCTTCACCAAAAACTAATCATGTCGATTCCCAAAAAATATCTTTTGAACGCTTTTTGAATTTTTAAAATCGATTCAGAATTGGAATTTAATACCATGGCACTATAGTTTCATTTGAGTAATACTCATAGGGTAGAAGCACAAAGGTCCCAATTAACTTTGAGCAATAATATTGTGAACACCAAACTAATTATATCACAACAAATAATACATATCAAACAAACAACTATTTGACTACATTCAGTAAAACTCCCAGCTATTCATCATTGAAGAAGTGTGTAAGGTTCTGTAAACTAAACAATAGAGCTCACGACCAAAAAAACTAACAACGAAAGTCAATACTCTTGTAAAATAGCTTTATTATCTAAATTTAATTTAATATTTAATTTTTTTATTGTTTACACCTTTTCAGGATAAAAGTTCAGTTTGTTCTCTCTACCCCACCCTCGTGTAAGCTCTTCTAGAGGATATAAAACATTCTTGTATAACAATTAAATAACGAGTACTTTAAAATTATATCAAGACCTCGTAAACTAAACAACAGTTCTCACTGTTTCGGATTTTCAAACATTGCTGTTTATCTCCTGATGGCGATGTCGTAAGAATCAAGGTGATGGCTGTGTATATATCTTTTACCCTCTACTTTTAAATCTTTTTTGTTAAAAAAATCCTAACATTACTCGTTCTCGAGATATCGGTGGTGAATCTTTCTACCAGCGGACCTTCAAGCCCCGCTCTACTCTATATCTATATGTTGGATGTCGAGGTTTGTATGAAGTACTTTTTTATATTTCTATTTCAAATGTAATTGCAACAAAATTAGTACATTCGAAGAATAATTTAGCATGTCAAATATTCAGTTTGATCGTATAGCAGAGATACAATTATCATAGCTTTATCCAAAGAAGCTGACTTCAACAGTTTAAAACTTAAAACAAAATGAAGAAATGAGTCTCTATATCAATTTTGTAGATTTATTTTATAATTTTATGATCGGACTAACCTGCTATGGTGCAATCAATTTACGTCTACCGGGAATCGTCGAGTATTGATTGGTTTCAGAAACACGACGACTATGGTGAGGTTTGATGCCGTCCTGATACTCTGGAACTGCCAGAGTCTTACTGCTGAAATTAATAATATCACATCATAGATCATCAATTAATTTAAAAATGTCGGCTGTCAATCAGTTGATATCGTACGTATTTTACAATATCTTCAATTTCAGAACATTATTATCATAGAAAATAAATCTATTTACCTAATAGTCTACCAGCTTAGTCCAGGCGGCACTCATGGTGAGTTGCAGTCTAAATTCTTGTTCTAATCAGTATAGAACCACGTGCGACCGTTTTTGGCCCGGCCATTTTTTTTCTAATAAAGTATAATTTTAGAGTCGTCATCCAGTCATAATGACGTTTCGATATGTGAATTTTGCCACATTCAACTACGAGCCAAAAAATCTGTAAATAAAAAATATTCCTTTAATAAATATGTAACCATTCAATTCAATAAATCATATTCTTAAATAGAAAAACCATACTAAAATAAATTAATTAAGCAACATTCATAAATTTTAGATCTATCAAAACCCTGAAACACCGTGTATATTTTAGGAATAAAGAGCCTTCGCCTTATATGCGAAAGAAGCTTTAGTAGATAATTACTGAAAAAGGAAAACTTCTATTTTTAATTTGGAATATAATTCAAGTCTTACGATAACTCAATTTAATTGTTTTTAGTAATACATATTTAAAGATTTAAATTAAGACCGTTGGAATCAAGATACAGCAACTACTACAGAAAAAAGGTACTAAATCAATTAATTTCTTATGACTGGGCAATCAATTACAAAACATTCTACCTCAAAAATGGCAGTAGAGCTTCTTTGCAATTTTCTAAATCAGTGAGTTTGATTAGGAATTCTCTCTATTTTTGTACGTTTACAAAATAATAAAAATTGACAGTGTTTTCATACTTCGTTATGTAAAGTATTTCTACAAGTAGAGTAGCTTAAAGGTCCGCCGATAAAAGTAAAGTAAAGTAAATTAAGTTAAAATTCAATTTTACAAGAGATAAGTTAAATAAATAAATATTCCAACTCCGCTGATGATATTTTTGACGAAATACCAGATCAAGGTTTGTATTTTTACGTAGTTATAGAATTTAATAAAACTCTCCTTCGATAATTCAGGTTGTAGGGTTATAATTTAACCCTTGTAGCTGTGGACTGCATTAAACACTGATTTGTTTGTATATTATGTATTTGTTGCAGTTCTAACTACAATCACTGATTTGTCACTAAGTTATAATGAAAGAAGATATATTTATTGGTTATTTAGTATACATGTTCGCGGGCTTTACTTTTAGAAGTGAACAACTAGTTCAATTAAAATCCTCCGCTACCCCCTCTACCAGGGGTAGCAACCATTCCGTGTAAAGCTTAATGCCCTGAAGGTTGTCACCTTCATGGCCAATATAATAAAACAAAAATACGTCCGAACAAAGTTCTATGCAGTATTATTTCTGTAAAAAATGTACCCGTGAAATTTATATTTTGCATTGGTTGAATAATGTAGCTATTATTTCGCAAAATCTCCTTAAAATTAAAAAATGAACGTTCGAACTGTTTGCCCCGTGGCTTCATTTTACCTTGCCTATCGAGTAAACAAGACCAAGTTATTTTTTTTTTTTTGAAAAAAAACAGCAAAAAAAACATTTATACAATGATGAATTTGTTGGGAATTTTACTGAACATTGTCAGATAGTAGTTTGTTTGATATGTTATTTGTTGTGATATAACTGGTTTGGTTTTCACAACATAATTGCTCAAAATCAAATTGGGCCTTTATGCCTCGCCATATCTTATATTGCGATTCTGCTTAAATATAGATATTAAATCAAATTTTCTAAAACATTTGAATTCAGTGCAGATTTTGCAGGTGAATTCAGAAAATACAACTTGCAACTTATTTATTTAAAAATAATATTTCACCCTTTTTTTAATATGAATGGGGCATTAAACTTATAACTATTTGAGCAACAATTAAATTTGTAATAGAAATAGAATAATAATTTAAGCCCTCAAAAAGTGTTACTTCAAAAATCCTAAAATATTCGAGAATCATAGTTAAATTCAAAAATCAGAGGAAACGGAGTAATCCTAGTAATAAAACAAAACTAATGCGTTGCTCTATTAGAAGGATTATTTTTCATATGTATTCGTAGCTTTCAAACCAATTGATTATTGTTAATAGACAATTTAGAAAATTAAAATTGAATTCAATAATTCATAATATGAATCGAAATTCCCAAAATTTATTAATATTTACTTCTAAAAATATTTAAACGATTCTAAATATAGAGCAATATAGTTCATAAAATCAAAGTGCATGATAAAATTATAATATTATTTGTAATTATAATTTATAATAATTTATATTATAGATTCTAAACTTTATTATTTTAGAGCATAGAGATAAAACTAATAATATAATTTCGTTTCACTGAAACTCTTTTTATGACTTTCCTTTTATTTTTACGCCACATTTAATATGATATAGTGCATTGTGTTGTAAAATAAGCTAAATAAAAAATTGAATTATCAACCGGATCGAGAATTAAATGTTCTCATATAACGCGGGTATTAATTAATGGCATATGGCAAACGGGCCGACAGGACGCAACAATGTTATAAATCGGATATAGTTTTGAAAATTAATTAATGCAATTAAAAAGATAAACAGAGAACATGAATATTTCGCTAATTTATTTTTATGCTAACATTTTAATAACCTATATTATAGACAGAAAGACATAAATCAACAAGCTTTGAATGGTTTGTTTTGGGCGAATTTGCTGAAAGATATAAAACAACCTTGAATATAGATAGGAATTCACCTGCAATTTTAAAAATGACGCAATTAACTCCAATTCGATTGAATACGATTGAAAGGTATAATACGATGGTTCATACTTTGAAAGTTTAGATTCTGAAATTTACTATATGATTCATATAATATTAGACTATTTTAAGAACTTGTTTTTTTTAGCTTTTAATGAACCAAGATAACACAAACGTAAAACAAGAAAAATAAAAGTACTCAATTAGTGAAGAAAAACCATAAAAAATTAAACGTGAACGTTAAAAATAATAATAAAATATGTTTAATAAACCAGAATACGTAATCATTTACAATACATTATTGTGCGATGATGAGATTACAAATAATTATTCAGTTCATTGCTAAACAACAAAACATGAAGGAAAAAAAGTCGAGTGAGTGGATAAAGTAGTTTAAAAATAGTTAAAAATATTTCGATTCTGAAATCGATCAAATATGAAGAATGGGATCTATTAACACAGGAAAAATTAATTGTATGAAACAAGATTAAGTCAATTATCTATTTTTCTTATAGTAGAATGTATTAGACGAATTTGATCCCAATGGTTTCATCTTACCTTCTAACAAAAAAAATGCTATCGTATTTTGCCAACTCTCTATCTCTATAGTATCATCTGACCAACAGCATCTTATTTGGATCCAGTTGACAATGCGTTAATATTGATTTTAAAATTTAATACTTCATATAAAATGCATTTTTAATCTACATTGCATGAAAAAAACTAGTGGTGTATGGTATCGTGCTTTAAGGCAAATTGCTGGAACTTTCCGTACCGTCAGAAACTGTTCGAGGAATATTAAATGTTTTCAAATAAATTATTATAAATACTGTAACGTTGTCTAATATTTACAAGAATTATATAAACTGAATTACAAAGTCAAAATTATTCATTTAAAGTATATAAGTGAGCTCTAGAACTTTAACCAGAATTAAAATTGAAATCTCAATTGTTTTCGATATTCAAAAAAAAATAAATAAAAATAAAAAAAAATAAAACAAAAATTGAAATTTTTTTTTCCAAAAGCAATTATTTCGTCAACACAAGCAGAAAGTTTTTTGAATCATTCAAATCGGATGCTTATTTCTCCCAAAAACTGCCATTTTTTGTACATTTTGCTTTGTATCTTCTAAATGGCTGGGCCTGCCTTTGCCAAAAACTAATCACCACTTCTCTAAATCATTACAAATTCAATGTTTTTAGATGATTCAAATCGGATGCTCCGTTCTTTCAAAAACTCGATTTCTATTTTCTGCACTCTCTGCTCTTTATCTCCGTAACGGTTAGACCTGCCTTTGCCAAAAACTAATCGGCACATCTCCCTATCAATAGGAATCGAATGTTTTTTGAACCATTTAAAACACAAAAATGCGGAAATACAAAACAAACAGACACACACATCCATTTCTTCTGATAATGAGGTATGCTAAAATGTTCAGAAACCTTCAAAAATGCAAAAATTTTCATTTCGACATTTCTCTGGACGACATCCACATGTGCTGTGTATACGGATGTCGTCCCTGGATGACATGTTGTGTTTGCCTTTGGTTCGAGATTTATCACTATGAGTTAAGTTGAAAATTGTAGACTTTTATTGTAAATTCTAGTTTAGAAGCGTATTTTTTTATTTTTACCACATTTTAATTGATAATTATAGAAATATATTAAAATTTATCGTTTTGTCTGTTCGTTCAGTGGTGCTACTGCCATAGCGAAAGGGGCAGTATTTCTACGACAAATGACAAATGGCTATTAAATTTACTTTTCTCCCAGTTAACTGGTAAATTAACAAAATTATTGCAAATAAAAGAAAGTGGCACAAACGTACCCAGTCTCGCCTACAACTTTATACACAATTTGCAACGTACCAACTTCACTTATGACTCATGTTTATAATTAATTTGCTTTGTTAAGTGGTGCTATAAAATAACAAAAATGTGTCAATATACACATTTTTGAAGTTTATTTAAAAGTTTATTTAAAATACTAAAATATTAGTAATGATTATTATCTTTGGCATGCATCACACAATTAAAAATATTTACACAGACATTCATTAACAAGCTAAATAATAATGAATAGAAATGAAACAAAGCTTTGATTATCGGTTCAAAATAGATCAGAAGGAATATATTTATTTTAGGCATTATTTGTTATTGTTGGAAGACCTATTCTTATCTATTGCGAACATCAATCATTCGTCAATATCCGCGTAGATCCATCGAGCTCTGAAACCGATCATAAATAGAAGAGATTGATTAGTTTCAAAACAAAAATTCAACAGCACAATGTTACATTTAGGTCTCACATTCACGTTTTCATTACGGAAATTAAATGATAGGTAGGGGTACGTGGTGAATCCTTCGTTTCGTGCTACCAGATATCTAGCAGTAGTAACATCCATTTTCACTTCAAACTATAAACCATAAATATGCTCCAAAGTAAAGATAGCAATTCCAGGATATTACTTCAAAGCCAATTAGAAAGACATGGTTGTTAACTTCTAACAAAAATATAATAAAACTAGTATAAGACAACCATTGTGCTAATTTATTTATC